AGACGGGGTCTCTGCCTGCTCCCGACAAAGCTTGTGGTCCGGCTTGCTTATTACTCCTGGAGCCTGTGCTCAGCTAATTCTATCCATCATACATGAACTGGAAGAGCTCGACTCCATAGTAAGGGCAGGCTCATGTTATTGCCCTTTTCCTCTCATGATTTTATTTTCCCTTGCTGTTTGATCCTTTCCCATCTCTGCTCTCTCTATATTTTGCTCAGCACTGTCCAAGAAAGAGTACCTTTATGTGTTTCTAAGTGAGCTGTAGTGTGATTGAAATCATGGCCCCATATCAGCATCCTTTTGCTACTATTTAAAAAACATGAGCTTAATCTGGCCTGAGTCTCAGCAGGCAGCACCTCAGCAAGCTTAGTCCCTGGTGCCTGTTGGTGCTGTGAATGGGAACTGAGCTGCTCATGCAGGAGCCAGTGTTCGAGGACAGCCTGCTTCCAGATGGCTGCATTCACAACTGAAAGGTATATGTTGTCTCTGATGTTAATATAGAGTCCAGTTCACGGTTATCATGGAGCTCCACTTTGGGTTTAGTTTGCCAGGATTCTCTGTGAAGTGACCAAAAGGGACAACAAGGCGAGTAGAAGACCACATGCAAGGACCTGGGGGCTTGCTTCAGAGACATACAAGTGGTCAAAATAACAGAAGCTGGAGATGCAGGAAATTCTGAAGGAGAGACTCCATTGAATGCAAATGTGTGAATGTGTGTGTGAACACACACACACACACACACACAAGCAGAATTTAAATTAAGACCAGATAGCAAGCGTTCCTCAACTCACAAAGCAAAGGATTGCAGTTTGATGGTTAATAACAGGTATAAGTAAGGATTCCTTCAAAGCAACCTGTGCGCTCCTGGAGCAGTAGTTTTATATAAGGAGACTGAATACCTTTGAGTGCTCAACCAATAGGACTGCAGGTTTGGCCTATAGTCACATTCCCTGAGAGTAGACCACTGGGTTCTTAGCTGAGCATTTTTGCAGGGAAGGTATTTGTGTATCACATAATGAGGAATCTCTTAATCACTCCCTCACAGCAGCTGTACAGCACCTGCCTTGGCTCCTTCCAGGCGTGCCCGCCGCAGACGCTGATCCCTGGAGGAATTCCAACTGTGCTCTGGAACTGCGGCAGGTGGCGGACAGCCAGAGGCTCTTACTGAGCACTGTCTGAGTGTGGTGAGGGGGAACGCAGGAGAAAACCAAAGTCACTGCTGTTCCTGAGGATGTAACACTGAGCAGGAAAACATCAAAATCCCCACAAGGTGACCAAAGCACACAGATCTTTACATAATAAATCATCTACATGTAATAATTATGGAAACTAACATTTAGTGAGCATCTCATATGTGCTTTTAAGTACTTTCAACTTAAATATTCTCTGCCGTATATTGCAGGTATTCTGGTGATCTTTGACCTTTACCACCACATACTTGCTGTAGTGAGTGAGCCTAGGAACACTGTTCCGGGCACCTTTGAGACCCTTGGAGAGGCCACAGTCAGAGTTTCATTTCATCAGCCTTTCATCAAGGCTGTGGGGTATGGGACTATGGGAGGAACGAGTTTTTGAGGTGGCAACTCTTGCCTTGGAGTGTGTGTGGAGTTTATACACAGGCAATCAACCAAAGATATTACCTTGCTAGTTCCTAGAGAATGCAGTCATAAAGGCTAAGTTTCAAGCAAAGGGCAGAGTGTAGGTTTCAGGGTGAGCCCCAGCCTGGGGTGGGGGGCGGGTCCAGCCACCCTGAGGCTGATGGGAAGAGAATGAAGGGAGCAAGGTGAACCACACTTTGTCTACTGCAGCTGGGGACAAAGGATTCTGCCTTTTGTGGTTTCATGTGATCCCCAAGCAGAGAGACTCAGTTGTTCTTTTAAAATAAAAGTGCTCTTTCTCTCCTTTTTCCATTTCTGGTTTCCATCCTTTTGGGTCCTGTAGTCAGGGCTTAAATAGATCTACATTCTGATTTTGTGCTGTGAACTCTTCCCTACACACACACACACACTCACTCCACAGGGCAATGCGCACTGAAGGGATTTCATGTTCATGCATTCTTCCCCAGAGTCAACAGGCCCTGACAGGGCAGGTGTGCAGTTGCAGCCACTGCCTGCGCGCCTCCGGTGGACTAAGGATGCCAAGAAAGGGAGAAGAGGCATGTAGGGCAGCCAGAGCCATGACCCGAGGAGGAGGGACTCTGCCGAGGTCATTTCAGCCCTCCTACACAGGTGCTTTTTTGCTCCTCTCTCCACCTGCCTAGAGGCTGGATGCCTTTGGGCAGCTTCCTGGCCTTCAAGTCAGAGGAAAAAACCTACCAACGTGCAGCGCTGCCCAGCATGTGCCAGCCTGGCCATGAGCTTCCTCCTCTGGTCTCCCAACCACTCTCCTCCCAATCACACTCCTCCGCCAAATGCCTTCCATCCGGCCCCCTGCTTAGCGCCATCCACATTTTCTCAGTCTCTCTCCCCTTCTGGGCTTTCCACATAGCAAGTTCCCAAGGTGTTACATGGCCTGTGCTGCTCTTTCTGATCTACTCTGAAAGGGCCTGCTTGATCTTTGGGGACTTTCCTAGCCTTCATTGTAACCCAGTTACCCAGAGTCTTCCCTGTAACCCAGTTCTTCCTTTCTGTGCCCTCCAGCCCCTTTCTCTGGGTCAGTGTACAGGTGGAGTGAAGCATCAGCCTATGTTCCTCTCCCTTGTTCTGCTGGTCACAATAACTGCTACAAATCCTATTCCACCTTGAGTTAACTTTTCAAGAAGAAAAAATACTCTCATCTTTTTGTTTCCCAAAGCCTCACCTCCACATCTTCATTAAACTTTTCTGAATGTGGTTGGCACTGTGACCACGCATTCAAAACTTGCAAAAGGTATGTGGCCGCATTTCTTTCTGCTGTTTCCATTGAAGACAATCACTGCTTATTTGCTAAACTGCCTCTGATTACAGGGTCATGAGAGGGACTTAGAGACAATTTAACAAACTGCTGAGTACCTATGGGGTGTGTTCGACCATGTTGGCTCCTGTGAACTGCAAAGAGAATTTGGGTAGGCTCTGGGTGTTTGCAGGATGATGAGACCATGCTAGGGAGCTGTTGAATGTCAGGCATGCAGGACAGTGGGAGAAAGCCGCAGGTGCCAGGCTACAATCAGCAGACTTCCATGTGTCCAATATAAGCTGGGGGCAGCAGACAGAGAGGTGTGTCTCCAGGATTGACTGGCTGCCCTGGTGATGGCAGAAGGATGTACTGCACCTGGTCCCTTAGTGCCCTCTCAGCCAGCATTCAGCTCAGGACCCTCGTGCCTACCCTTGTAGGCCGTGTCTCACTTCCTGAGCAGCCCGTGTGTACCAGAGCTGAAGAGTCTGCCGAACCTCTCCTTTCCTCGAAGCCCCTCCCAGGCAAACCATAATCTCCAGGCAGACAATGCAGATAGGACAACTATTCAGAAAAACGCGTGGCTGCGGAGGCTCAGGACAAGTCCCAACTGCACCTGCAGGTTTTCCTTTCCTGAGGCCGCCGGGCACTGGCTGAGCTGCACCTGCCGCGGGCCAGCGCCTGCCTCAGCCACATACCTGGTGCTGCTGCAGGCCCTGGCCTGCTCCACATCCTGCTCTGCCTGCCATTCCCTCTGCCTGCTGTGCCCCTTCTCAGCAGCTTGTCACTCACCCACAGCCATCTGAAGGTCTGTGATCGCGGGGCTGGGAGAAAAACAGAAATCAGCACCTCCTACTTACCTTTCCGTGTTCTTTAACGAAAAGTTATGGATGCAAACCTTTCTCCTACTCAGTTAATCTTTTTTCATTTTCTTACCATCTCCTTCCTCTTTCTTCTTTTTGTCCTCCGTTTCCTCTCTCTCCTTTTTCAAAACTACAGCAATCTGTTTTTCCAGACCGTATGCTTCTTGAAGGCAGAGCAAGGCTCCTTTTTCATACATCTCTAGTATTTATCTGTGGTTGTCAGAAGCAGCAGGAAGTAAACATCACACCTCTGCTGGATGAAATAGGAAGCGTGCACCCACTTCAAGCTAGAGACTAAGTATCACCCTGAGAGTGTCTCTGCTTTCTTCTGTATTCAAGTGAATCAAAGAATGGCACCAGGTATTTCCAAGTATTTAGAAATACAAGGAGACAGGGGCACGCATTGGTCTTAGTCAAAATCACACTATCTAAATTAGTAACAGAGTAAGCTGACCACAGTGTGAATTTGGCTTATTGCAGCTCACATAACCTGGAAGCAAGTTCATGTTTGCACAATAATATAATATTTTATGCTTTTGAATAAATTATGCCTCTTATTGACTTCTTTCTGATATTCCAAAGTGAAAGCCAATATAAAAAACACATTAAATTTTGTGTACAGTTAATCAGACTATAGTTATTAACAGTGTGGTGACAATGCTCTAGAATTAGTGATATCTTGGCAGAATGAGAAAGAAATTCAGAAAATGTTAGTGAGTCTGTTAAATGGGATAAATTGCAATGTCTAATCTTTGTCTATGTTCTTTGAGTTTGTGATGAGGGAGGTGTGTGTGTGTGTGTGTGTGTGTGTGTGTGTGTGTGTCTGTGTGTGACAGAGAGAGAGAAATAGAAATAGAGATAGAGAGGAAGAGAGAGAGAGACAGACAGACAGACAGACTTTTACTAAGTCCACAAGGGTCACATTAATAAACATCCTACTGTTTACAATGAAGTATTATCCTAGCTTTATGAGATTAATTTCTCTAAATTAACTAAGTTATTAAAGATCTTATATAAATATTGTGCAACTTCCTTATGCTAAGAGAGCAATGTCACACACCTACCACAAGGCAGGACCCAAAAGTCAGGGTTTCCAATGACCATGCTATTGGTTCCATATTTAATTATACATGAAGTCCTATGATAAGCATACTTCAAGCAGAGCACTCAATGCTTGCCTGTAACTATATATATATATATATATATATATATATATATATAGTTACTTTTCTCTCATTGCTGGCACAAAATACCCAACACCCAAAATGAAGGAAGGAAATGTTTATTTAGCTCACAGTTTTTGGAGGTTTCAGACCATAATCAGCTGGCTCCAAGCAGGGTGACATGAGTAAGATGCAATAGTTTACAGTGGCCATAAGTGACAAGAGCAAACAGGATAAACAAAGGGCACAGCATGCCTCCTTTCCTCTCTCTATAGTATGCTGGCTTCCTGCCCCTGGGTGGGTGCAGCACTCACACCATCCAGTTTCTGTTGTTGTTCTCACAAGCCAGCAGTGGTCTCAGCCTCTCTTCACTCTCTCTGAAGTTTGTTGACCAGCCCTGGAGTCACCAGCATTTGACAGCCTGATGACCAAGGCATGGAGTTCATCACATCTAGACTGTTGGGAAAGCAAGATCCCTGTCAAATGTCCACATTCCTCTTAGTACTAAACATGAAAGCCTTTACATTCAAACTGAAAGCTTCCCCTGAAGAAAGAAAACCCCAAAGTATATTTAGGTAATAGGGGACAGGGAAAGGTGTCAATAATCTTACAATACATGTACCTTTCACAGTGATCACCATCTTGAGAGTCCACCGGAAGATTCTTCAGGTAGCCTGGGGAACTCAATTACTTCCCAGCGAGGGGTATGTGGCTATAAAAACAGAAGTTGCTGCAAACATGTCTTTAACGTTAGAAGTAAATAAGATCTGATTGTTAGCTTTGATTGTTATCGGTCTGGGGCACAGGCAAATTTTCTTGATTTTTCTAAAAGTTTTCTCAATCAGTAGGATGAAAATAGCAAAACCATGTTCATGATTACCTGTTATGGTAGCTGTGAGAACTGGTAAGATAATTCCTGTGGAGAGCTTAGCACAAAAGCGTTCATTGGATGACTGTATTATGTACTGTTAAGATTTTGTGGATTTTCATTCCATTTTCTGATTCCAAACAATTCATTAAAGATGCCTTGACCAAATGGTTTTAGTTAGTGTTCTAGACTGTTCTTTGCTCCTGTGCTAATAGGTCCTCCACAGGGTGGTGACTCGCATTCCAAATGCCCCTCCAGAGGGAATGCTTAGGAATCACCTTCCTTCTGGCTATGCTGGTCTGCATCTCAGGACAAACAGTGTCCTTTATGTAGGTGACAGCTTGATTAGGGTCTCCTTCACTGATGCAATGATTTTAGAGATGCAGACAGGGGGTGGGAAGGTGCACTTTGGGTTACAGGGAGGACAGACTGTATTTCACCCAATTTATTCAAATGTCCTTTAGCTGACAAGCCCTTACCCCAGGGAGCTTTCTGTGAGCCTGGCTGGGGCCACATAATAAGGGCACTGTGAAGCTGAGCAGGCAGGAGGGAGGCAAAAATAAACAAGAGGATGTGTGTCTTAGGGGGAGGAATATTTTCTTGGTGGATTAGGTAGGAGGCAGGAGGTATGCACAAAGCCACAAATTACCAGGGATGGATCTGTGAGTGGCTGGCTGCTACTGAGAGCAGGGGCTCTGATGAATGCAAGAGGATGCCTTGTTTCATTCAGGAGACCTTACGGTTCCATTCCAATCCTTTTCTAGTCTCCCACAAAACTGAGTCAGATTGCTGAGGCGTATCTTATGAGAGGGACCCTATATTTGGATTGTCTTCTTCTTCAGTGACAATAAAGACTGGAAAACCCTTCAAAAGATCATCTGCTTCCAACAGAAGGGGCCATCAATACACCAGAAAAATATGAATATCTTTCTGTGGTTTCCTTTTGATGCAGGATCTGAAAATATGGGGAATTCAGAGCGGCTCCGAGGAGCGTTGTCCAGATGATTGTCTCCACATTTAACTTCCTTTGTCAACTGTCTTCAATTTAAAATGATATTACTTTGCGTTACTGTGTATTACTGTATGGGAGGAGATGGACTGCTACAAGGAACACAAATGATGACAGGTGGAGACTTAGCCACGCATGATACAGAACTGCAACTTCTATCGTGAATGAGAAGGGCACATTCATCCTCATGGCACAGAGTGGAAGCCAAGTGAATGTCTGGGATGATTTTATGGTACCAGAAATTGCAGGCCTGGTCTCTTGCAAGTGGAGTCTTGTACACAGAGATATTTGTGGGTTAAGAATGCAGGACTACCAGTTTTCAGGGGGTGGTTTTTAAATCCTGTAGTTAAAAAAAGTACGTGATTGTTTCCCAAACAGAATCTCTCTGTTGTGCCTGTGGGAAGGTATGTACCTCTCTCAAAGGTCCCCTATCCAGTTTTCTGCTGCTCTTGGATTGAAGAGAAAGCCACACTAGGCCACCTTTTCAGATCTTCGCTGCCTGTCCAAGGCTTTCACGCAGCCACTCCAGAGGTAGCCATGCCTGCACTCTATGTTGGCTGTACTTACAGTGGGAGAACTTGGGCCAAGCTGAGCAGTCGGGAAGTGAAGCCTGGAGCAGGCTGAGGGGAGAGAACCCTTACCGTTCTCTAAAGAACTAACCTACTAAAGTACAAAAGTACAATTGGTCCAAAAGTACAAACCCTGTGTGTACACAGATGGCCCTTTATCAAATGAGTCAATGTTCACATTAAAGTCATTTATGAGTTGTTACAGTAGTGAAATCAACAGAATCTGAGTGTGTATACCGCACCAGCAGGGCATGCTTTGGGCACATTGAGGGCATGAGCAGCAGATGTTTGGGGCGGTCTGTTCAGGCGTCCAGAAGCTCTGAGTTCTCCTGGTCATTTACAAGTGACATACCAAGTCACCTTGACATCATTTAGGGATTTTTGTTAACCTTTTTTAAGGCTTCAATACCGCAAACTAATAAAAGAATGTTATTCACACATAGATCAACATATAGTCAACTCACAATAAAAAGTTTTAGACGTACATCATCTAATGATAAATTTAAATGATGCTCATAACTATTTTGAAGATAACAATATGCAACATAGTGACCATTGTATTTCCTGTCAGCTTGTTTTGAAATTCTATATTGGTCCTACTCTTCTGTTTTATTTTAATCTTTTTAAAATGAAAAGAATCATGCTCATAGATGCTCCACAGCTCCAGCGAGGCAATGAGAAGCATATACTTGCTAGTACAGGGTCCTGGAGCTCTCCTACACTGGACAGGACAGGGCTGGGAAACCTTCATGGGCTATGCTGATATGATAAACAGTGTCCTAGGAATCTCAGAGTCATCCAGAGACTGCAACCCAGCAATTCTACTTCTAAAATCTTACCTCTAAAAAGTAAGTAATGAGGCATGGAAAAAGGTGAATCTGTAGGATGCTCGCTTTTAGAATGGTTTACCATTTCAAAACATGGCAATAACCAAAATATTGTAGGAGGTAAGTGATTTTACACAGTCTGAGGCAACAATGCAAGCCAGACAATGCAAGCCAGACTGTAAATACTTAATGACTTAAAAACCGCTCATGAGGCATTGTTACATTAAGAAAGCAACTTGCAAAAATATCTTTCCAATATGATTATCTGAGAAAATATATGTACACAATACAAAAAGGAACCTTTATAAGTACACTTTCAAATGTCTCCTAAAAGACCAAACCTACATCAGAATATAAACATTTATTTTTAAAAACTTATTAACATTTCTGGAGTATTTCTCAGTGAACCTCAATTAATTTGTAAACAGAAAAGTTAGGTAAAAATTAGAATTAAGGAAGCAATATCAGCAAGATAATGAACAAGGAGGTTGCAGCCTTCAGTGCCCTACAAATGCAATAATTAACAGTGACCCATAAACAGCTCTAGGAGAGCTCAGGGGAAAACAAAGAAGTTGCCACAACCCATTAAAACACAAAAATCAAGGATGACTAATGAAAAATATTGGAATTATTTTATATACACTGTCCTGCCTTCCAGTGGAACACGGCTAAGACACAGGGAGAGCCCCACAGCAGTGACATCTCCCTGTGGAAGAAGAGAGTAACAGCCGGACTCAGCGGCCTTCCCCAATGAGGGCTGCAGCATTTTGGCCACCGGTAAGGTGGGGGCTGGTGAAACGCTGCTTTCATGAGTGCTGACTTCACAGTGTTCAGCTACAACTGATGACCACAACTCAAGGAGCTGCCCCAAGTTCAAGCCACTGAGTTCACTGTGTACTTCCTAACTGTGCCTTTGCACCTGTGGCTATAACCCTAGGCAAAACCCCCCAAATCTAATTAAAAACATCAGTAAAGGACTTGACTGCACATTTCTCAGAGATATTTAAGTGGCCAAAAAGTCTATAAAATAGGTCCAGTATCTCTAATCAGCAGGCACGTGCAAATCAAAACCGCATTGAGACATCACCTCACCCCAGTCCGAATGCCTGTTACCAAAAAGATGCAAGACAATAAGTGCTGGTGAGGAAGAGGGGGAGAGGGAATCCTTCATATGGTCAAGGGAATGCAAACTGGGGCAGCTACTCTAGCAAACAGTTTAGAAATTCATCCAAAAATAGAACAAACATGTGACCCTCACACCTGTTTCTAGATACATACAGAGGAAATGACATCAATGTCATAAGGAGACCTCTGGGCCTTTGTGTTCATTTCAGCATTGTTCACAGAGGCCCACACAGAAATAACTGACTGTCAGTGAAGTAATAGATGAAAATATGACATACATGTAAAGAGGTGTAGGGATCCTGATGTACACATGGACAGTGGAATATTATTCAATCTGAAAATAGAAATTGCATCATTTACAATAACATGGATGAACAAGGAAGACTTGTGGTAAGTGAACTAAGAATCTACACAGAAAACAAAACAGAACAGAGCAGAGACAACGTGATCTTATTTACATGTGGAATCTTCCGTGGTGAGGCTCTTGTTAGCACAGTGTACACAGAGGCTGCCGGCTGTGGGATGGGAGTGGAAACAGGGAGATGAAGTCGAAGGGTACAAATTTCCAGCTATGCATAATGAACCAGTTTTGGAGTCAGACAATGTGTGTGTAGTTAGCAATGCTATATTGATGCTCAGAACTGCTAAGGGGGGTAGATCTCACCCCAAAAGAGAAAATAAACATATGAGTTGATGGACATGCTATTTAGCTTCATAGTGACAATTATTTCGATACATTTATATCTCAAAACTTGAAGAGGCACACCTTAAATACGTACAATTTTAACTTGTCAACTATCTCTCAATAAAGATGTAAACAATTTTAAAAATGTGTATTGCGTTGTTTATACCTACTGCAGATAGAATAATAATTGTGTTGGATTCCATTTATATAGAAAATGCTTACACTGCAAATGTTTTTCTTGATTTCACAGAATTCCTTATTTCATTTCTAAGTAATATTCTATTTTTCACTTAATATACTCTTTTGATTAGAAACATATGTAATCACAAAAGGTAATTTCTATCTAAATGTCTTTATGCATAGCAAACAGATGCTATATGTTTCTTTCACTTGCTTCCATGTGTTTACCAAGGAAGCAGAAAGTAGCTGCACAAACCCAACTAGGCTGAATGTCTCATGTGCCACCTGATGCCTGCAGCATCTGCTGGAGGGTTGGATGTAGGAGCAGGCAATTTCTGTCTTTGGGATAAAAGTATGCACAAAAGGATTCTAGCTAGCAGAGGGACGCTGAAGCTGCAGTGTGGTTTCCCCAAACAGTGGGAGGCTGGAGACACTGGGAACACAGCAGCGTAGACTCTGGGACCTGGCTTCGGTGAAGGGGAAGAGTCTAAAATTATTTCAGAGGCTAACTGAAAGCAGTATCTCTGCATTTTCCAAAGAAACATAATGTTCCTTTTTTACTGATCACCAAGATTTGTTTATCTTCTTTATGTTTCAATTTTTAATCCAGCTCGCTGTGTTCACTGGGGGCCCTTTCTATGCAGAGGACTAATTGCCTTGGCAGAAATAAAAATGTGTGCATATAAAATCCCTGCCTTCAGAAATATACAAGTTGGTAAAATTGTAAGGCAGATCCTTACACAATAGTTTATTTCATATTTAAGGAGGTCCTGTATATCCTTCATCTATCTGTATCTCACCCAGTATTCAGCAGTAAAGACATTTCAATGCTAAATGCATTCTTAAATCATTTGATATTATCATAATTATTCACTGCCACAAAAATTCAGTAGTTTCTATGATTTTTCAGTGAATGCCCAAACTTTACACGAATAATATATGTATTTGTAGTGATTATATAATTTGCCCTATCATTTGATGAATCTAGATGTCTTATGACAGTTTTGTACTGATAATCTATGATAAAATATCTCTAGAAATCTTTTCTTGCCACTCCCAGTATGTATCTAGTGAGAAACTTGTTTCCTACCTGTGTTATTTGCACCTCACTTAGAGTTAAGTGATACATGTAAGGGAACCTTATCTCCACCCTAAAGCACCATTCAGTAAGTAGAGGAAGGAAATAGGTATGCACTCGTTTTTTGGTACTCACTTGCAACAAAACACACTTAAGGGTTCATATTATCATGGAAATCATTTGGGTCTTTGAATACTTGGGCTTCAAATTCCATTTGGCTCTGTAAAATAAAAATACTCAACTCAGTACAACTTCTATAAAACGTAGAACAAAACAAAACAAAACAAAACACTGGGTATGTCTCTGCAGAGCTTCCAGAGAGACAAAGTGACCAGGGAGAGTGGGTGTTGGGAAGGTCTAGTGTTCATGTGTGCTTTACTCATAGATCTGGTCAGTGTCGACTGAATTCCAGATTTGACACTTGGTTCTGGAGCCACAGAGATAACAAGAACTGCTGATACTGCTCTCCAGGAGCCTCCAGCCTAGTGGGCAAAACCTGAAAGACAAGTCAGAGGTGAGGGCTACAGGATGGGGCAGCTCACAGTGGCCTCTGAGAGTCCAGGAGGAGGGATCCAGGCACAGCCTACTGCGGAGGGCGAGGCGGGATCAGGCTTCCTAGGCAGGAGAAGACAGGCAGCCAGTGAGGAAGCAGTGTGGTTTATCAGGACAAGACTCAAGTGCTTTCATGAACTGTATTAAGAAGCAACAGCAGCTTAGGAAGTACATGGTGGTGCTGATTTTAAATCTGGGGAATTCTCTCAAAAAGCTGGACAGTGAGAAGAAAATCTATTGGATTGGAAATAGAAGTAGTTGTGGAATTAAAGTTTTTTTTTTTAAACTTTCCTGCCTTCTTACCTTTCCATCCTCTTTCCTTTTCTCTTTGTTTGGTTTTTCAGATGGCAGAATTTTAGATCTTTTAGAATCTTAATGGGAAGATTTTACTAATGAGGGAAAAAGGTAAAGATGTTGAGCAAAGGTAAAGGTAGATGATGAGGTGCTTTTGGGGAGAACGAGGAAGAGGGAGACAGAACTCTCCACTGGACCTTGCTAATGTCCACCCGTCCACTCACACATCCACTCGTCCTCTCATCACTTACTAGGCACCTACTTTGTGCCACACAAAATGTGGGAAAATAGTGGGGAAAGAACCGAGTTCATGACATCAGGGAGGTCACATCTATGTGGTAAGGTAGACCATAAGTAAACAAGCACATTTTTGTTAGATAATGTAAAGAGCTACAAAGAAAATGAAAGCATTGCTAGAGGACGAAATGAGTAAAGTAGTTAAGAGGAGGCTCCAGGAGGAAGTGGCATCGAACAAGGCTGGAGGAAGGTGGAGGCCCCGTCATATAAGGGTCTGGAGAACAGCCTTGGTGCAGAGCAGAAGCAAGTGTCAAAGCTGGGAGAGAAGGAAAGCAAGACAGGGACTGAGCTCCGGGGACACAAGAGGAGGAGGACGCGTGGGACATATCCCTGGAGAGAAGAGAAGGAGCCACCGGATCCTTTTTGGAACCCGCCGGGGAGTTTCAAGCAAGAGTGGGACACCATAACATTGTGCAGCTCAAACAGAGCAGGTACTGTGGAGGAGAGGCAGCAGGGAGACGACGGTGCAATCAGGAAAGTTAGTGATTTTGGCTGAGTGACAGACCAGGTACTTTGATTCAGTTAATGGCAAAGACATGTGGAGCAAACGGTATAATCAAAGATACATTTTGGAGGAGCTGAGCGTGTTGCAGAAGAGGGGTTAAGAACGGTTCCTCAGTTTCTAGCTGAACGATAAGATGCAATGCAGTGTCATTTAATGCAAGGGAAATAAGAAGAGGAGCAAGTTTGGGTGGAAACTTGGAATTTATGGAGGATATCTAAGGGAATATGTGGAGTAGATAGCTAGAGAAACAAATTAGAGCTGAAGGGAATAGGGATATTAACAAATCACAAATCACATCACCCTACTTGCGTAAACCCCCAATGAATCACTGCTTTCAAAACAAAACTCGAGCTACACAGGACATGGTCCTTCTGGGGAGCCACCACCTGCCTTCCAGCCTCAAGCACACCAAGTTGTCTTCCAAGACAGCCTCATTGTAGCGTCTTGTGCATGCTTCCTCTGTCTTCCACACTCTTTCTTTACCTATGTCAGTGTTTAGATTACTTCCCTCCATTTGACCTGGTTAGTTGTGAAACCCAGTCTTTCTGAGAAGCCTTCCTGTGCTCCACTTCCTCCCCAGTGGATCCGCAGGTTGATGGTGTCAGCCTTCTTCCTGCCTCTCACTAGGACCCACACGTACTTCTCTGGACTCTGGTAAAGAATCCTTAGGATCTTCCACTAAGTAGTAGATAAACATGAACAAGTTCCCTAAATTCCACATCTGGAAGACTTAGTTTCAACCTCTGCAAAATGAGGATAATCATACCAAATACTTCAGAGGGTTGTCAGAGGGGTTAAATGAGGTGATATGGGGCACAGTTCTTATGACACTACCTGGCAGAGATGATGCACCATACAAGTCAGTAAATATTATAATAATACTCATCATACTGTTACATAATTATTTTCATGTTGGTTTTTGCCCTTGAATGCAGTCGTTGAGCCTTTCATCTGTGCTTCTGGGCCATATAGAAAATCTCATCAACAGTTGTTTAACATGAATTAGTTCATGAATGAAAAGGACAGCCCTGGGATACAGCCACCCTGCAGGATGAAGTGGCAGGCTCCTCTTTAGTGGTCTTTTTGTATTTAGAAGCTATTTTCTCCATGAGTAAATATGATTCTTCTGATACATCATTCACCAAACCAAGAAGTTCCAGATTGTTTCTCCTAGATTGTGCGTAAGACATGGCTCAGGGAAAGTAGTATCATTACCTTCGGATCAGGAAGACATGGTCCAAAAGCTTCCAGAAGAAGTGCCTCTTCTCTCACAGCTTTCTCATAGTCTGCAAAAGACAGCTTGCCATCATGGTCATAGTCCTGGGGACAGAAGGGCAGGCAGCAGCAGTGCGTCAGTCAACACAAAGCTTACTACAAATGCATACTCTTTTCATAATCAAATGCCAACAGAAGACAAGTATTGGAAAAGTAATAGATTATAACAATTGAAAATATTTTTTTGAGGCTGCTGTGGATGGAAAGTGGGGCCTCTCTACAACTGAGCTACACCACCAGCCTGAAAGAATTTTTAGTATTATAATTAAGAGCTCAATTCAAGGGTTGCATTTTATTAAACATGAAAATTGTAATTATTACAATTTGAATTTCTGTTTAAACAGAGTCCATATATAGCCCATACATTTCATTAGAGATCTTTAAATCTTACCATTTTCTTAAGTGTTATTTCAACCAAATCTTTAATTCCTTCATCAGGATCTTCCTCAGATGGCTGTTTGAGAAGGCTGTTCTTTAGCATGTGAAACATCTCCTCCTTTGAAATGAAGCCATCGCCATTCAAATCAAACACATCAAAGCAATCTTAAAAAAATAAGTTATGAATTTGATTTTACTGCTAGGATAACATTTTCTCTGACCAAGTGCTCAGGGCCAACATCTATCTTGTTGAACTCTGTGAACCTCATTGCAATCTGAGTTTCATAAGAAAGGTCATTGCACACTAGTTAAATATATTCAACAACTATTTTACAAAGTTCTCTTACCCTTAGCTATGAAAAAAATCACACCAAAGAACCATTACTTGAACATTTTCATCTTGTACCTCTTAAAAGGCTAATTAAAATAAGACTTTTCAACAGAGTTCATCAGAATTAATTAAGAATTAAGTAGAATCAGAGCAATTGAATTACTGTTCTCTGGTTTTGATGGCTACAATTCAAGTAAAATGAAATACAGAAATGTATTGAGTTCATGTATAATTAGAATGTTTAGTAATGCATATGTCATCTTCCTTGGCATGCATCATTTCTCACAATTGCTGCATTTTCCTTTATTAAATTTCTTTCATTCCTTGTTGACTTGAATTGTCTCCAAGAAGAAGTTATGTGAGAATTTGAAGCAAGCACGCTAACAACCAACCAAACAAATAAACAACCAACAAACCTACTTAGCTGACTGGTGGGGGGCAGTGATTTAAATGTTTTAGCCATGTTAATCATATAAAGCTAGGCGGGTACCCAATACTCTTACATTTCATTTTTTCTTCCAAAGATCCTCGAAGGAAAAGTGACAATCCATTAACCCATTCTGTCACGTTTATGCTCCCATCATTGTCTTTGTCAAAACCTCGGAATACTAGAGAGGAAGAAGAGAGGGGAAGACAGAACAGAAGGTAATAGTGCTCATTTTAGTTCTCTACAAGTTATCTGCATTAGCATTATCTGTATTGAAAATCAGAGAAAACTTCAGAATTTCACAATCCAGTGTCCACATTTGACAAAAGAGGAAAATATGACATTATAAAGTCAGAAAAGTCTCTCAATATTCAAATTTGCTCTTCTTATTTTTGTGGAAACAAATAATATTCTGAATATCTAAATATAAGAATCAGTAACTAGTAATTAACAGTGACATATTTTTACATTAAATACCCTACTTATATTAGGTGTGTTCAATGTATTGATTATCTTTTTGTTTGTCTTTGTTTTTTGTACTGGGGATGGAACTCGACCTCGTGCTTGCCAGGCAGGCGCTTATGCTACTAAACTAAATCCCTGGCCCTGTTCAATATGTTGATGTGAAACATATAATTTTATATTGTCACTCAAGTAATATATGAAAAGATTGTATCATAGCTTTTATTGAGTTATTTCCTGAGATGTAAGAAAATTTAAGTATCCTTCTAAGACTATTGAATTTATTGTATTTACTAAATAGAAGAAATGTTTTGTGCTCTTCAATATAAAATAAAGGAAACCTATCACCTTAATGTGACACTGTCTTCTTTTGAATATACAAAATAGACTTTAACTTATTCTTCTATGAAATCTAGAAAATTAAATTTTTATAGTCAAATAAAACTGGGAATGTTGAGCATTAAACTTCCTACCAAGAGTGTGACCAAACACCAAGCTTTTTCATCCCAGCTATGTCCGGGTTTGAGTGATTTGAACTGTACATGCTTCCTACCTCTGTCCATAATCATGTCGTCTGTCATTCCAAATGTCATGTGTAGAATGTTCCGGAATGCATTGCGATCTAGTCCAATGGCGGCCCCTGGCCGCTCTGTTGCTTCACCCACCAAGTTATAGAAAAGCTTTATCAGACAGCTCACTTCAAATTTATTAACTGTAAAATAATAAAATTAACATTTAACAAATGTACCCTTACATCTTTAAGCAATAATTTAAATTTTGCACTAATGAATTTATGTACACACAGTGTTAAAGACATCACATATATAGCTGTTCCTAGATTATCCTATTTTAAGGTTCATGATACTTAAGTTAGTGGAAGATGATGGCCAGTGATTCTCCAAAGAGAAGCAGAACTTCTTCCAAACAGAAGTCGAACGTGAAATAGACCTAAACTCAATTGTGTTTAGGATAAAAGAAAATATTAGCCAAATAACCTAACAGATGACTTTGGTGTCATGACAAACTCAACAAGGTCAGTACAAAAGTGATCCAAAATAAAAAAAAAAATGCTGATATTTAAGCATATACTGCAGTCAGGGTTTACAAGTAGAACGAGATAATGCAGGCCACATAATTTACAGTATTATTTTATAGTAGCTGCCCAAAGAGTCAAATACAAAAACAAGTACAGGAAATTTGTCCATACATAAGATCCAAACAATTCAGCTGAGCGCCTGGACCTCATGGCAATGTCTTGCATGTATCCAGCTGAAGTCCATGATAATACCCCACCGTGAGCCCAGCTAGAGACCTGGAGCCCATGACAATATCCTATGCAAGTTTGTTCCATGGATCTGTGGAGGCCAAAAAGTCAGTGGTGGAAGCTAGAAAGTCTGTGCCAGCAGGATGTATGACCTGTGCCAGTAGGTTGAGAGTTCTGCACTGCCACAAAAAGTACCACAGCCATCCTCAGTGACAATGAGGTCCCAAGCTCCTTCTATGATGAGACTAGCCTAGTTCATGTCAGGAAGCCAGTGTGACAAGCTTCTCCTGAAGACTGAACAGCACCATCTTCCTCTTCAGAGCCAGTAAGTGATGCTGAAAGTTAGGACCAGTGCTCCCCCCAAATGAACCACAGCTATTCTTAGCAATAAGATCCCAAGCTCCTCTGACAATCAGAACAGCCAAGTTCATATCAGGAAAGAGGCTTGGCAAGCTCTTCCAGGAAGGCCAAGGGCAACAGGAGAACTAACACCATGGAGAACTAACAACACCACTTCTTCCTCTCCAGCTCTCCATTTTAGCTTGGCAACACCCCCCAGGGGGTCATTCACATTCAGCACCGTGCTGATTCAGTTCAGCTAGTATTACAAGCTGACCACCAGTTATCAATCTGCCACAGAGTGTTATTTTTAAAACCAGCATTTTGATTATAGGTATTCTTGAAATTTTTAATTTAACTTTTCCCTGGAAATCCTGAAAACTAAGTGATGTTTCTTACTTAATTTTATCATTTGTGAATTATAACCTACATTTTGGAAATCAGAATCACTTATGTTTCAATAAAGAAGTTTTAAGCGTATTTTAGTACCTAATATGACATCCTTTATGAATTACATGAAAGAAATTAACCATGTAACTACTAAGTATTACTTTAGAGGGAAAACATTTATATTTAAAGGATGGATGCACAGAGAGACACTTGTACACATAATTGCATAAAAGATGGTATTTGCTAGTATTTATAAACACTAAGGTGATTATTCATTTTCCAGCAGTCATTTGAGGTACCTAAATGGAAAGGTTACTGCCTGGCAAGGAAAATATAAAAATGACTTTAAATATGAAGCATGGATGGAACATAGAAAATTTTATTTTAAACAAAATTATGGTTGAATGTTATCAAAAACAAGGATAAAATCTTTGTGCATACATGAGAAAAGAGCACAGAGGAATAAAGAAATTACATTTCATCCTATAGATCAGAATAGGCTTGAGTATGACTTCTGATTTCAAAACCAGATTTTAAAAGAAAGATTTAAAACTTCAGAAGAGGAAAAATATAGCAAATGAGTTAAATATCAGGAAAAATATAATAGTTATAATTTCAAAATGAGCTATTGGTCACTATTGAAAACACTAAAGTAGTTCTCTAAAAAGTTAAACACTGAATTACCTAATGGTCCAGTAATTGTACTTCTGGGCATATACACACAAGAATTGAAAGCAGGGACCCAACAAGGTCCTCATAAGTACATCAAAGTTGGTAATATTTTGTTATAGTAAATAACACAAAAGCAAAAAGATAGACTCAACCCAAATGTTCATTGTTGGATGAAGGACTAAACAAAATGTTACGTGTCATACAAGGCAACATTATTTGACCTAAAAGGAAGGGAAATACAATTGTGTGCTGCAGGATGGACAAACACTTATGGATGGTAAGTGAAAAAGAGCCAAAGGGAAGAAGGAAAATGTTTATGATTCCACTCATATTCAAGTCAAATTCACAGTGACAAACAGAAGAGTGGTGGTTTCCAGAGGCTGCAGGAAGGAGCAAATGAGAGCGCTATTGTGTGACTTGTACAGGGTTTCAGCTGGGGATGAAGAAGAGCTCTGGAGATGGATGGGGTGACAGGTACATCACAGTATGAGTGCACAGTCATTGTCCCTTATTCAAAGTTTTGCTTCCAAGGATTCAGTTAGCCACAGCCAATCAATGGAAAACTTACAGGAATAAATAATTTGTTTTAAATAATTTTTGCTTCCTTATATGTTATATTGTTCTGTTTTTATTATTCATTACTGCTACCAGTCTCTTACATGTCTAGTTGTAAATTAAATGTTACCATAAGTATGTATGTATAGAATAAAACATGGGTATAGCACTATCAGACACCACTGAGGCATCATGAAACATGTTCCCTAAACATAAGGAAAAACTTTGATACGTAATCTCTATACTTAAATACACATAAAATGGTTACAATAATAATTTTTTGTTTTGGTACTGGGGATTGACCTCATGTCCTTGGGCTTGCCAGACAGGCACTTATGCAGCTGAGCTAAATCACTGGCCCCTAAAATAATAAATTTTATAGTATACATATTATACACGCATATGCACACATACACTAAAAGCTCTTTAAAAACCCCAAGATCTCTTAGTGGTTGGGGAGAAAAACCTACATGAAAAGTAACGTGCTCTGTTCATGTGCATGACATGCTTGCTGAGAGTATGCTGATTAACCACCTTTCTGTCTCAGATGAAATAAAAATTCAGAAACATTAGCCTAAGTTATGATCCCAAGTAATGAAGTATAACCAGGAATAAACTTTCTCATGTAGAAATTACTACTTAAATTCTAGAATACTAGAAAAAATAGCTTTTCATCTTCTTGGAATGTTGTACATGTGTTGTGCAGATCCTATCTGTAGAACTGTATAATGGAGGATTAACAAGATGGGTGGATAAGATTCCTTCTTCCTGCCTCAACAAAGTGGGTCTGTTTCATCTATTGTATTACCATCTGGCAACTTAACAGAAATTTGACTTTAGGTAAAAATCTTCTATTTATCCAAATTTTAAACTATTATCCATCAATGACTTTCAGCTACTCCTATAGAATATAGTTACATTTACTTTTACCTAGTAATCATCAAGGTTTTTAAGGCTCACTTAAAAATTTTATTTAAGAACAACAATCTAGAATTCTTTTTTTCTTGAGATGATTTTATTTATCTTTAAATACATGTACTCACCTTTCAGTTGTTCACAGAATGTTTATTTGCAAATGCATTGCAATTTGACAGAACAGAGACCAAATCAAAATCAATTTTATGTACAGAAATGAATCCATTGGTTATGAAAATTTACCAAAAATGTTTACTAGATGTTTTAAGGATATTTGGTCTTTCCTCCAAAATAGAAAGTGTTTTAAGAAAAAGAACAAAATCTTCACCTAATTACAATAACCACAGTAACACCTTAAGCTACAAGATGCCTTTTTACAACTTTAGGATGGGTATACCCACCATAAATTTTACTTAGAGTACCATCCCGCTCATCATATCAGGTACTGATGATGATGGTAAGGCCACAGAACCCATAATCTCCAGAACTACATTCCCCTTCTTTGCACAGTGGGAATGTTTCAAGGATTATAGCTTCTCCAGCTTTTTCAGAGGGCCAGTAGTTTTTATGACATCCAAACTTATACGCCAGGCAGTATCTTTCTCATCCAAACCACATAATGAGTTCCTATCCTAAGCAAAGTTCTCTTTCTAAATCTGAATACAATCCTAAATTAATAAATGAGGTTTAAATCTGAGGTTTGAGCAGGTATCTCTAAAGAGTACTTATCTTGTACTTATTAAAGTCTCCTTTACCTTTCAACCCCACTAGCAACTGGAAAGCGGAAGTCTAAAGTTGAGAACAGAACACTTTAGCTTTACTGATCAATTTGGTTTCCACAAAAATCTTGCTCTGAGTCACAGGTTTCTGTGCTATATTCCAATTCACCTTCCCCAGTGAGGGGCAGGGGGTGATAGCTATTTCTCCCATGGATCTCTTAATAAGCTTCCAGAATTTAAACCTGCCAATGAATTTTGTTCTAAGATAGAGTTAGGAAGCAGCAGGCTAGGGTCCATATTGTATATTGATTACGCTACTTTTTTGAGTCCTGTGTTTTTGGCTACTTCATTATGACCAGACTGAGGTTAAAACCACATGCTATCATCCCTTTCTATATCATAAAAGTAATTTGAGGGGAAGGTCTAAGCGGCAAGCAAGTGCACGTGAGGCGTAGGTAGCATAAGATGCATGGGTAGGAGTTCTTAAAGATCCTAAGCACGGATGCCTGCCAGAAGAAGCTAGCATTCAGGGACAGAATCCTCCTCCAGACTTCTTTTTAGGGGAGAGGGGTAGAAGGGGTTTCATTAGCGCATCATCTTAGAGGCAGGAAACAATCGCAGCAAGGGAATTAGCCCTGGGACAACACCTGGACAACACCTGGTCCAGAAACCTCGGCTTGTCCAGCGCTGGATTCATACTTACAATGCTTGCAATTTTTAGTTAAGGTGTCCGTCAATTTCTGCAGCTTTTTTCGATTCATGCTGGGAGCTCATGGAATTTTGGTGCCGCTGGTGTCTGCAGGAGCGCAGCAGCTGGAACCCTTAAGAACCTGGGTGCTGGAGCAGCGTGGCAGAGTCTCTGTTGCCTAGAGTTTGCGTTGCTTTAACACACATTGTGACCATGACAACGGCTTAGCCACCCGCTGATTGGCTCCTGGGCTAGGACACTAAATGGTCCATTTTCATGGAGCAGCCAAGGCGACGGCTGAGTCGGCCGCCGATTGGCTCCCAGGAAGGACACACACACGCCCCACACACAATGTGGCCATGGCAACGTCTGAAGAGGCTGGCGATTGGCTGCTCTTGCTGGGGGCTCAGCGCCAGAGTGCGGTTCCGGTTGCAGAGTTTCAGCCAAGCACGTTACTGCAGAGTTTGCTAATGCTGGAGTTTTAATTTTCAAATGTCACTGTCTTTTGAGTTCAAAGCCCCCCACCTCCACCTCCTGCAGCGTAATCGTGAAAGTCTCCAAAGTATAGTGCACACTTTTTGTGTAGGTTTGGAGTGACTAGAGTGACACCTCTTAAGGAGTCTAAAGGGAGATGGGGAGGGGTATTGGATGTGTTTTATGAAATAGAGGGGTGTATCCAGATGTTTGGTTTTTCTCTGCTTTGGGCTTGAAGGATGAGGAGTTTACTTTTGGGGTAAATTACCTGGGAATCTGGTTTAAAATGTCTCCATGTTTTTGAGATTAAGAAGAAATTAGAGACGCTATCTCTGTCCTACAGGGACCACCTCGTGTTTTAGAGGTGGAAGTTGTCCACAGAAGTTGGGAAAGGTCACTGGAAATTTTGAAACAGGCTAACTGCCAGTGAGGTGTAGGGGTAGAGCCCATCCTTGGTTTTCTGGAAAAATCTCATTAAAATGAATGCTTTGCATATTTAAAATACAGGTTCTGTGTCTGTGAAATAAAACACCTTCACCCAGCAAATAGCCCTTGCAATTGTGGGCGGAGAGGACTTTCTTATTTTCTTAACTGCAAATGGAATACCCTGTTTGGGTTGATAGCAATAGAATATGCTTGCTCAGTCAGGAGCAAAAACCTACATTAATCTCCAGAACTCCTATCTGTTTAACTTTGGTGGGGGAAATGACTTCAGAATCCAAACTACCCTGCAGAATGCAGATAGTACACATATATGTATGATATACAGACTGTCTTCCTTAGACTGAAAGCAGTAATGTTTGCCACACCAGAATGAACTAGTTCCAATCTTAAAGTATCTTGTTTTCTTCTGCTGTTTGACTCATTTGTGAAATGAAAGATGGGTAGTGTTTGAAATTGGAGCCAAGGATGCTTGCTGAAATTGGAAGCTGTGTTATTTTAAAGCAAATTCCCTGAAACAAGTCAATCAACATGGCACGGTAGCCGTTATGAGTTTCTAACAGGACTCTAGTTAAGCAATATTACTATGTGTCCATATATGTAGAACTTGAGAAACTTACCAGATGGAAGCAAACAAATGGGGATGATTCTAATTACACTTCTAATTACTAACTATGCTTACTTTGAATGCATAGTGGTTTCTGTTGGATTACAGAGTTGCAGAAAATATTAAAATCCTGAAGACTGTTGTATTGCTCATTTCAAAAGGCAGGGAGTAGGGTCGCTGTCAGTACTTAGCAGGAGGAGTAGCACATGAGCATGTGAGATATGTTGATTGTTGCCTTGTGCAGCGTCCTGGAAACAGGTCTCCACTGGTACTGCCCATTGACCAGCCTGCCTAGGCATCTTGGGAGCTAGCATTCAGTGGGTGCTTTCTGGAGAATGCCTATACGTGAAAGAAACAGTGATTACCAGGAACAATCAGGCACACTATTCTGTTCGCTAAAATGTGGGAATGAGCTGTTGTGTAAAACACACTTCTTTGAGAGCAAACTGGACCTGAACTTTACATGAAGTCTTACAAATCTTTGCTAGGGAGAGTGCAGCGCTTGACACATGTTTTGTCAACATATGGGTAAATGTCAGAGGTTTCATTATAGTCTTGTGAGGGCTGGAACCGCAATATTTTCAGTTTAGAAACACATTGCAAGGTTGATGAAGTCACATTTCAAGGCAAAACTGAATTTTTTATTTGTAGCTTTTAGTTGCTTGTGCTGAGTAGACACAGGATTGCTTTTTCTCAAGGGCTTTCTCAGAGTAAGGCAGTTAAGTCTGAACAGTTACCTCATATCAAATCAATCAATAATGGAATAATAAAAGGTTGTGTTTAATTTGTATTGGACACAATTTTTACTCTGTGTGAAATGATCATAGAATTTTCCAAAATTCAAGCAACCTTGAGGTGGATGCTTTTGTAAACACAAAAGTACATTAAAGTGTCTATTAATGCTATGATGTTTCCTTTAATTTTGTGTTCAAAGCAATCTTTCTTTTGACTCACCACTTACTGGAATGTTGCCATGATACATAACTTGGACCTTGACTTGAAAGTATTTCCTTTAACATAGACCTTTATGATGAAGTCTGCCCAGGAAATGACATCATAGAACTGATATTCAGGTACAGTGTATTACAAGTGTATTATGAAATTAATTTAACGGAAGGAAAAATAGAGAGGTTAGTGACCCACATCATTTAAATTCAGTTTTACTGATTTTATTTTGTAGAGATAGTGATGAAAAATTTGAAGTTAACTTTATCCAACTGTTTGAGTTTTCACTGCTATCTCTGGCCATGTTCTCCTTGGCTTCATGCTTTAGTGACAAACTGCTTTCTGTACTTGAGACCACTGAATGCTGTCACCTCAGAACTTTGGCATATTTTTCATTCCATCCATCCTCAATTGCCATTCTTTAAAGAGTGCTTTAACTTCCCTTTGGAAAGTGAATTCCTGCTGCACACTTGTCCTCTGCCTCGGGACTGTTTCCCTTCTAGTGTGTGCCACTGTGCAGAATAAATTCACTTGCTCTTTCTAATCTCTTCCTTATAGTAGACATTACGTGGCATTGCATTCTTTATTCTTCTATGAAGTCTAATCACTTTATCTGTGTCTGTCTCAGGGAGCCTCCTGAGTGCAGCGAGGAGCATCTGAGCTTAAGAATTTCCAGTGCTCACAGTGCAGCTCTGAAGGGGAGTTGGAAGGGAATAAAGAGTTTTTCTAAAACAATAAACCTTCCCTGTGCCTAACTTTTTCCCAAAGCACACACACAACATTCACTGGTGTTCACCAATTTCTGCACTTTTTTCCATAATAAAAAGATCTGTGTATATAACAAATGCCCAAGGTTTACTAAAGAGGTTTTTTTGGACCAGAAATTGATCTCAGGACTTCACCCTTTCCAGGCAGGTGCTGTGTCACTGAGCTATATCTTCAGCACTTCTAAAGAGCTTTTACATGTAAATGAGCATCTAATAAGTTAAGATGTGGTCCTCATTAAGTAGTTATTGTGCTAGCTGTAAAATCAGCAGGTTGAGAAAAGAAACTTGTTTCTATAGGCCTCCTAGAGCCCATTGAGAAATCCTGTGGAATTTTCTAGGTAAGATTCTAGGGGGGCTTAGTCTGGATCACTCATGGCAAGGGTCATGGAAGCTGGGCTATCTGTGTAGTGACCTCATGGACTGTAGATATCTGCTTTCCAACCAACCAAGTGCAGCCAACACCAGGGTTCTTGATTACTTGAGAAGAGGCTACTCCCAAATAACTAACCCTTTATTAGATTTGGTTGTTTAGACTAGACCATCCCCAGCCTTCTCAGCTGGGCTCAACGGAAGACCTCTTCAATTTTTGGCATCTAGCTCCCTTTTTCCCTTTCTGCATATGTTCTCGGAATCTGGCTCTCTCTAAAGATATTCTCTTCCAACAAAAGCCACTCATTTCCTCATACCTACTCCCTGATGGCCAGAAGGAAGGTAGAATCCTTATGACTAGGACCATGTTGTGATATCTTGCTGGCTGTATCTTCTACTTACATTTAAATTTCCCCAAAGTGTGGGCTGTGCTTGTTCTGTTACTCTGCTCCACTCACTTCGCCTGTCCGCTGTGCTCCTGCCGAGCTCCTGCATTCCTCGCTGCTTTCCCTCTTGTGCTTCCCAAAAGGTCTACAGGGTTGCTACAGACATCCAACCTCCTGCTTGGTATTCAAAAGTCTCCCTTGTGCCTGCAAGGAAGGGGTCTGGTAAAGTCTTGCAGTGTGGTTTCCACCGTTCTTGAAAGTCTGGCCTCTGCCAGCTGGAAACAACCTTTCTGACCTGTCCCCACATACTTAAAAGTTGGGGCTGAAGCACCTGTCACCGACCCTGAGGTTCACTGGGAATTTGGAACCAGTCAGAATAATGAATAAATCATAAGGAGCCATGACTCTCACCCTGGCAGCACTGCCCGATAGAAAAGTGAAATGATTTTGTCTCATTTTTACCAACAATATTTGAGATTTCCACAAACCTTTATTTGCACATAACTCTACAAGCAGAAGCTTTAAAATTAACAAGTTGGACTTCCTTTTTTATTGATCTTTCTTACTGATAATTCCTGAAAACAAAATTAAAGCTGATCCCCTCTTCTCTCCCTGTTTTTCACAAAGCTGAACCTTCTGTAAACATCAGCAGTTCACTGCTGACCTACAAAGAAACTGCAATTTCGTATCAACAGAATGCAAAGTTGTCTCTCTCCATATTTGTCCAACATTTTGAGCTAAGCAAAGTGAAATTTTTATCTGCAAATTTCAAGTGGTTACCTTAGCCTTCAGTCACTTGAATTCCCCGTAATTCCCCTTCTAGATTGATGGTGTGCTATAGGAAGGAATGTGGAATGTTTTTCTGTCAACTTGTCCCCTTTGTTGGTGGGGAATACCAATTGACTTTGCTCTGTTCTCACCGATCCTGACCTCTCTGCCACTGCTCTGAGTGGAAATGGTTAACATGGAAGTCCTGGTAATATATATATATATTTTATATATATATATATATAATATATATATATATATATATATATATATATATATATAGCTTTTAATTAAAATTGATTCTGCTAGTCAGCTATGTGGCCTGCACCTTGTCTAATATTAAAGAAACACAACCAAGTATTAAAAAATCACCTTCCTGTTTGGATTTTATATGTAATAGGAGGTCATGCTTATTCTAAGGGACATTTTATTTCTAGTACTATGTAG